GATGAATAAACAGGTTCTAAGGCGTTTAAGACTCGAAATATTGAAGAATTTGATGCAGAAAGGTAGATAGTTGAGTTTGGCAGTGGTGGAACATTGGCAACAAGGAGGAACTGAGGTAGGTGAAAATATGGGTTCTGGAGTAATGGGAGCTAGAATCTGGAGGGCATTGAGGCAAATCGGCAAAGAAGTCAAGTTCCTGAGTAGTGAGAAGCGTGAAACTTGAAGAAACTGGAGCAGACCGGCAGAGATTTGGGTTTTGGAGTGATAACAAATGGAAGACTAGGAGCAACTGTTTTAACTAATTTAGGTAGATCTGTGGAGAATTGGGTTCTAGAGTGATCGGAACTGGATAACTGTAGACGAGATCCTGCAGTGTCGGGAACAAGTTAATTGGGGGAGGAGTTGTTGTTGATAGAAAGGTAGGATGTGAAATGGTGGTATTTAGATTACTGGGAATAGGCAAATTAGAGATTACGATTGGGAGTAGTAGGAGCTAGCTGTTTATAGAGGAGTTTTTGCAGGTAGTTGAAGATATGTGGTGAATCGGGACCTACAATGATGTAGAGTAGGAATCAAGGAAGGGCTGAGACAGATAGGTGGAGAGATAGTGTGGTTTCTGGAAGATTAATGCTTGATAGGAGCTTTAAAATGGGATGGAATTGGGGTAAATAGGCAGAGTTAGGTAGAAAGGTTAAAGGAATTTGTCACTCGGAGAGAAGCTAAGGTAAGCATGCCTAGCTAAGGTCCTGGATTGATTGGAATTAGAAATCAAAATGGAACTGAGCCTGATACGTTAATAATTACGTTTGTAAGTGGTGAGCAATGCGTGGCCGGAATGAGCCAATGTGGATGTATAGAGAATTAGGTTCTGGAGTGATGGGGTCAAGACACTTGGAGAGGAACTGAGTCAGATAGGAAGTAGGGTTCTAAAGTGATGGGAATTGGGTAGCCGGGACGAATTCGGGTAGGTACGTAGAGGGCCCGGTTCAGGTTTGGTGAGAACCAGATATTTCAAAGGAACAGTTGGGTGGAGAATCAGGTTCTGCAATGGTAGGGAATAGATACTTGAAGGGAACTCTTGTGGAAATTTAAAGAACTATGTCCAGGAGTGACGGCAACTGGAAAATTGGGTAGACATGTGGAGAATTGTGTTCCGGAGTGATGGGAGGAACTGAAGTAGACGGGAGAATTGGGGTCTAAAATGGCAGAAATAAAAGAATTTTGAAATGACTGGTGTGAGTAAGGAAGAGTTAGGTCCTTGAGTGGTGGGAACTAGAAAATTAGGCCGGGTTGAGGTGGACAGGTAGGAAACTGCAGTTGCTGCAGGGCAGGGAAGGACGAAGCCTCAGCGATGGATGCGTTGCTTATTTCACTTTGCCTATTCCCCAGAGCAGCTACTGCTTATAATTCTTCGTTTATATTCCGGGTTTAGCCTCATCTTCGATGCCGTAGGGAATGCCTGACTCACCCGGTGGTGCTGAGCCTGTCGTCTGCTTCCTCACTGGCTGTCGGTCTGATGCTTCGACGCGTTGAGTGTAGCTTCATTTTATTATTGCCGTCGGCAATGTTGAAGTGAAGTTTTTATTCACGGTGTAAGCGTGGATATGGCTCATTGTGCCCCACCACCCTGACCTGCAGAAGTTGTTAAGAATGTCTGAAACACATTAAAAGTTGATTTAAGGGTCTCTTCTATTGCAAATTCTCCGCTTTGTGTTGTAGTAAGCAGTCCACACTGCACGATATTTTCGCTAGAGGTTATGCGCTTATCAAGAATGTCATCATTACTGGCACAGATAAACATGAACGAATGGGAAGATGCAAATCTCATACTTTTACTGAATGTGTTTATCGGAGAGGTTTGTATCTGGAGAAGACACTCCTTCATCAATATTCTGTAGGATTGGGCCCCTTTTACGCTGACTTGG